CCCTCCCCCTTACCTTACCTGTGGTTCCATCACGGGGCAGCTGCATGGTCTCAGGCCAGAAGCCCTGGCTGGGGCTTCCAGCTGGGGGGTGGGGCAGACGGGCCCGCTGGGGCTTCCCCTGGATCCTACTGCCCTTGGTTCCTGTCACTTTTGACAGGAACCAAGGACAGAGAAATATTAATTTTTCTAAATTTTTTAGGGGCCCCGCAGGCTGGATGGAATGGCCGTATTTTGCCCACCCCTGCTTTAATCTTTCCAAATCAAATTGGATCCCTCCTAATCAATTCAGAAGGATTCGAAGATTCAGACATAGAGACCGCTTTAAATGTTTTTTCTACCTACCTTTAGGTAGCAAGGGTTCATGAATGCCGCGATGCTGGGGCACACAGTGTGTCCCATGCGGGGGGCTCCCCAGTGCACTCGGCAGCAGACCCAGAAGTGGACGAGAAGCACTTCTGGTCCACTTCTGGGTCTGCCAGGGAGTGCGCTCCCCCCCTCCCCCCCCGCACCCCTCCGGCTTGGCGATTGTGCCTCCTGGGTCTGGGGGGGGGCACCCAGGGTCCCCCTGAAGCTGATCACTGATCTGGGAGGGAGCATGGGGGGCCCCCAGTGTGCTCTCCAGCAGACCCAGAAGTGGACCAGAAGTACTTCCGGTCCATTTCTGGGTTCACCAGTGAGCACGTGGAGGCCCCCCCCCACCCCGCACTCCTGTGGGATGCTCCATCCTTCCCAGCATCGCAGCGATCATGAGCCACATCTGGTACCTCGAGGTATGTAGAAAAAGCTTTTAAAGCTGTGTCTGTGTCTGAATCACTGATTCTCCGAATCAGCATCAAATCTTCAGATTCAGATTCGGCCAAATTGAATCAGGGACAGTGATCTGAATCAACGAATTGAATTACTGTCCCTGATTAAGCTTGAGTCCAAATCTGAATCGAATAGGACCTGCTTTGCACACTCCTAGTAATGGTCTCAAGTTGTTGCAAAGGAAGTTCAGGTTAGATCTCAGGAAAAATTTTTTGCTAGGAGGGTAGTAAACACTGGAACAATCTACCCAGAGAGGGTGTGGAATCTCCATTCTTAGAGGCTTTCAAGACCCAGGTACACATAACTTTGGCCACAATGATATAATTGGGGATGGTCCTGCTTTGAGCATGAGGTTGGACTAAATGATCTCCTAAGGCCCCCTCCAACCCTAATTTTCTATGATTCTTGGATCATAGAATCATAGAAATGAAGGGCTGGAAGGGAACTCACAAGATCAATAGAGTTCAACCCCCTTGCTCCTGGCAGGAATACTGCTGAGATCAAATGATCCCAGCAAGGTGTCTGTCCAGTCTCCTCTTGAAGACTTCCAAGGTTGAGGACTGTACTACCTCCTTGGGAGGTCTATTCTAGATTCTGCTCACCCTTACTGTAAAGAAGTTCTTCCTTGCATCCAACCGGAAACCATCCTCTAACAGTTTATAGCCATTGCTCTTTGTCCTCCCCTGGAGCACCCTAGTGAACAGTTTTTCCCTTGGCTCCCAATATTCACCACTTACATACTTATAGATGACCACCAAGTCCCCCCTCAGTCTTCTCTTCCCCAGGCTGAACAGTCCCAAGATCCCTTAGTTTTTTTGTCATAAGGTTTGTCCTCCAGGCTCTTAATCATTCTTGTGGCCCTTCTCTGGACCCTTTCAAGATTTTCCATGTCTTTTTTGAAATGTGGCACCCAGAACTGGACACAGTACTCTAGCTGGGGTCTCACCAATGCCAAGTAGAGAGGAAGTATCACTTCCTTAGCCCTGCTCATGATGCATCAGCTAATGCATCTCAGTATGTTATTAGCTCTGTTGGCTACAGCATTGCACTGGCAGCTCTAGTTCATCCTGTGATCAGCCATAACCCCGAGGTCCTTTTCAGCCATTGTGCTGACCAGGACATGTCCTAACCTATGGATTTGGGAAGATTGGTGTTCAAGTAACATAGGGAATTTGTAGGAAGCTAATAGTTAGGTCAATGGGATTCTGATCCCTGCATTGCCCTGAAAGTTCTTCAGTAAATAGCTGTATTTATTCATACTGCCTTAGAGGTGGCAAATGTTTGTGGTAAGTGTGTAGTGATTTTCTAATTATCTGAAGTAATAACCTCTCTTCCCCTAGCTGTCCATATCTTTTAGTAAGAGGGTACTGGCCACTAAAATTTCTCATTTGCAGGTGTATCGAGCTATCAGAGAATGTAGCAATGGAAAAGACGCGCAAAACCAGTAATCTTTCCTTTTAAATTTAGGCATTCAGATTTACTGGACTCTGAGAGAGTGACCTGGATATAACACTGCACTCTTTTGCACAGTTCTGTTAGATGTTCAAAAGACAAATACTTTCATGATTAACTGAAAGTTTATATTGTTTTTCCCCAGAGACCCAATTTTCAACCGTGAAGAAAAGTAGAAGAAACCCAGTGTCTCAAGCTGTAGCTTTGCTCCTTTTCAACTGTAACAATCTTTAGAGGGTTTTGACCTTCTCTGGTTAAACAACACATTTAAATTTTTAACATTGTTTCCAGTATGATTTACCGATACTAAAAAAAAACTGCTATAAAATTGTTAAAGCCCCAAATAAGTTTTAACAAGATGGCTGCCCTCTGAAAGAAACTGACCACAACTTTTTACAACAGATTCCAGTTTCATTTTTATTTGAAAACTATTAAAAGAATTTTTCCTGATCTTTCTTTTTGTATACTTGCCAATGCTAGGCAAGAGTTTTAGCAGTTTGTGGAGTTGTTGTAAATATTTATGATTCTTTTAAACATCATTATATAGCATTCAGAATAAAATTTCCCCTTTTCCTAATTTTTCCTGACTACTAGAAAGAACTCCTGCATGTGTCAGTGTTCATGTGCTTGAAAATCATACAACTAAGGAGTAAATAATTTTTCCCTCTAGTCTCCAGACACACGTGAGCCTCATGATTCTGCGTTTTTAATTCTCATGTATTGACCTATTTGCCACTATATTGTGGGACTGAAGAAAGAATTACCTTGTTCCTGGTAAGGAGAATCATATGCCATGACAAAGTGAAGCAAGAGTAAAGGCTTAAGGCAAGAGATTTTTTTTTAATTACACATATTACCTTTTAGAAACACCAGGGGTTCATTTGAAACCTTCATGGGTGGTTTTTGGATTCTTTCCCCGGGTCGGAGTGAGATTGAGCTGCAGACATTCAAAAATTGAGCCAGATATAAAAAAAAAAAAAGAAGAGAGATTTAACTTTAAAATCATGAGATTTAAAGTTAAGAAATCTGAAATTTTTGCATACTGATTTTTTTTATTTTTTATTTTTTTTATATCTCTGGTGTTCACATTTTCAAATGTTTTGTCTATAAACAGGAGGGTAGAAACTTCTTATTTACATGGAGCCAGGCCTGTGTAATTACATGGACTACAAGAGCTTCAGCTTTAAGAAACCTAGGAAATATCACAAAGCTTCTGACAAAATGCTGAATGTTGGCAATGCTGTGCTGAGTAGAAGATTAAGTTGCATCAGACTGTAAACATAATCAATTCTCAAGCCTGTGATGATTTTCAAATAATCTTATTGTTTGTTTTTTTTATGGCTTTCCAAGAGGGTGGGAGTTGGAAATGAACAGAGAAAACAGCATGTAGAACAGAGTAGGATGCAGTTTCCCATCTTGTCATTTATTTATCCTTAAGCACAAGCCTGAGCTCGGTCAGACTTAAATGGCGAACTCATTGCTAATTTTAAAGTTCAAAATGGTCTTTAATCTTCTGCTGATTCCTCTCGCTCATAAATAACATTAAGGTTTTCAATGCACTTTTTCATGGTTCTTTCCACCATTATCAGATTGTCCTTGATAGGCATGGAAATCCATCTCACTAAAGGAATTGTGATTCAAGAGGTCAGAGCATTGTCTGCCTCTCTGAAAACAAAGCCCATAAAATACAGCTTAACGAAGGGGTCTATTTGCAAAGTGGAGTCTCAGCATATATCTGGTAAGTGCCTGGATGTCAGACCTGAAGAAGGAGATGAAAGAAAAATAAATATCTTGGGTTATTGAGCACTTGACAGAACGCTAAGGGAAAGAAAGAAATCTATATAGGGAGAATTTGCTTCTGCTTACTGGGGAGTTTTTGCTACAACATTTTTTTTTTCTTATTCTAAGTTTACTCATTTAACTTACTAATAGAGATGGTAAAATATGTAAAGTTCAGGCTTTCACTCTTACTAATTTAACCATCCCTGTTTAGTAGGACCTGCAGTTCTAGCCACAGTTCTCCAAGAGGCTGCAAGATTTTGCCAGAACAGACAATCAGGGTAATGTGTACAAAGGTTTCTTTAGTGAATATGGTATTTGTGAAAGATTTGGTGTTAACAACTTTAAAGGTTGAAGGTAGTATCAATCTTCCAGGGAGAAAGTGAGTGCGTGAGACCAGGTACAGCTTCCCATAATGTGTCACTTGCTTATATGTAAAAACTCTAACCTAGGGAGACCAAAGCAGTGTTTTGAAATGTAATTTTTATGAAGCAAGCTTGTGAACTGTGTTTTCTTCTTTTTTGTGAGGTGAGTCTCCTGCAGTACCTAGTTCCAATTTTTTGCCCCAATTTTCATCACATGCTAAATTCCTCATTTATGTCAGACCTATTCTGTTTTATGATGACTGTCTGTCTGTTCAAGTTATGATCAAAGCATTAATTCCTGCCAGTATTGGCTCTATCTACATTAAGAGTTTATTTTTTCAAAAGAAACTTTCTAAAAAGAAACTCTCTAATAATGAATCACTCCAGCTTCTTTCTGCCGTAGAAAATAATCCTTCTCTAAAACACAGTTTAATATGTGGAGAAGACCTGTATTCAAGAATCCCATTTTTAACAGTAAATTAATCTTAACAGGCCTGTCTTTGTCCTGATTCAAGTTAGGATCCTTAGTTTTTGTCCAGTCAGTGGATGCATTTGTGCTTTGCCAAAAACTTGGGAGTCTTAGTTACTTTTATATATTTTACATAACATGGTGCAGGCTTTATTTTTCCTGATTGTTTTGTTTTTGTTTGTTTTGGGGGGGTTCCCCCCCTCCTTCCCCCCATGCATGCAAAGATAAACAGGTTGTGTAGATGACAAATCCCAGCCAGCAGTGCTCTCTCTTAGTGCGAACAGCTTTTCCACATTGCATCATCAGATCGGTAGTCTACATTGGTTTGGCTTTTGTGAAAATCCAATTGTGAAGCTGATTGCTGAGTTTGACCTTTTGGGTTGTTTTAGGACTGTCCATGTGTCTATATAAAGATGTAACTGTAACTGCAATCATACAAGAACACATTTGATAATTCAGCTACCTCTTAGTATAATGGCCAAAGCCATTTCTGTTTAAAGGGTCAGAGGAAGAAGTGTTGTATGTCTTCCAATTTGAGCCTCCTGCTGTGAGAACATAGAGTAGCAAATTTAGAGCAGCTCATTCAAGTGCCCTAGTGAGGCCATCTGAATTGTACTGCATACAGAGTCATAGAAGAATTGTGCTGAAAGGGTCCTCTTGAGATCTGCTAGTCCAGTCCCATACTCAAGGCAGAGATAATCTCTCAGGCCTCCCAGACAAGTGTTTTGTATAACACCTAAAAGCTTCTAGAAACAGAGATTTTACAGTTTTACCAGGTGATGAGTCTAGTGCTTAGCCACCCACATAGTTGGACTGTTCTTCCTAATGTCTAAATCACCCTTGTTACTGTTAAAGGCCATTGCCTCTTGTCCTGTCCTCAGTGGACAAAGGAAGTGATTAATTGTCATCCTTTTCTTTTTTTAAACTATTTCCAAATCCTCCTGTTTTCTGTACACTAAAAAATCCCAGATCTTCGCACCTTTCCTTACATGTTGCATTTTCTAGACCTCTAATAGTTTTTGTTGCTCTGCTTTGCACCACGCTTTAATAAAGGTGTTAATCGCATCTTTCTTAAGAGGCGGTGTGCAAAACTAGGTAAAACTGGAGGTGAGACCTTTTCCATGCTGTATAAAGTAAAAGAATTCCCCATGGTTAACATACAGCACTCGTGTTAATACATTCCAGGATGGTGTTGGCTTCTTGTGCAAAATGTGAGCTAACTATTGTTTAGCCCATGTGTATGAACCAGGGGGAAAAAAGAGTACTTAGCAGGTCTATTTAGTGAAGGTCCTTAGACAGGAGAGTGAGGAACAATATCGCTTTTCCTATTCTTGTGTAAAAGATAATTTAGTGCAGAAGAATAACTTGGATGGCAGTGCTAGAGGACAAAGTATTCCTTTGCTATTTGTAAAGGTTTTGAATTATAGTTTGAAGCATATGGCAAGGGATTCAGTGGATCTGTAAATGCGAATCGACTGTCTTATTAACTTTGTAGAGTGCTGTGGTACCACTTGGACTAAGGTAGTTTTCGGATTGCAAAGGCTGGTAAATAGCTGTTTAGTGAACAGAGAAGAGTTATAAATCTTTTCAAGAAACCTACTTTGCTTACTTATTAAATAAATAAGTTGCCTTTGATCATAAATCATTCAGTGTTCATGCATTTCATTTCAAGTGGGTAAATTGAAATAACTGCTCAATGTACAGAAATGCCTCCTTCTTCCCTTTCATGGCTTCATCCTAGTCTAAACTAGACAGAGCACTACTACTTACAGTCTGGCAGTGACCTTCAGGACTATCAACCATGACAATTTTCTAAATGAAAACAAGTGTGTTGTTTCAATGTCCCATGCAGTTTTTTTTCATAGCATTTATAGAGAAATGCACGTCTGGTTGTCTATAGGAGTTGGGCACCAGTACTACATAGTTGGTTGAAGTGTTTAACAGGCTTAATTCTTTGTGCATCTTTGGCCAGATGTGCTAAAACCATGCTGAACACACCTAAACTATAAACTGCTGGTTTGGGTTTGAAAATGATTGCCAAAAAAGGTGAAATTGAAAGGAGCGTGGACATAGTTAAGAGAGATACTCAAAGATGACAAACAGCCATATGCTGTGAAAAAAAACTCCCAGCGGTCAAGTTAGTCTGGGGCAAGAAGGTGAACTGGACTGGAGTTCCAGTATAGGCAACTGAAACGAGAAAGAGAGAACTTGTACACAGGGTAGTTCACACTCTCTCCAGAACTATCCCTGCCTCTCTTCTTCCTTATTAGTGGCAATGGTTTTGCAATTTTTCCCCCTCACAAAGGGGAGTGAAACTCTCCCTAGCATCCCTCCCACCTGCAGGTAGAAAGCATCAAGTCTTGGATCCAGACTTATAGGTTACTTAACAAAATGTATCTTTTCACTAATCAAATTTAAATGTAATTAATTTTATTGAATTACTTTAATTGGAATGAAGACAGCTGTGTAAGAAAAATACCTGAAAGTAATGAGCTTGATTTCATTTAATTATTTATTTATTTAAAGGGTCTGCAGTTGAAGTAACCTTTGGTTTCAGTATAGGGAACAAAAATAATGTAAGCACAATTAATTTTCTATCTCCCGTGCTTTATTTTTAATGCTTTTAGGAGCAGGCAAAACAGAAGACTTGGTTGATATCTTCTGTCTTTGTTCTTGACTGCAAGGGTCCAGAACAGAGTATACGTCTTCCTTACTCATGTGCCATCTATAGTCCTTATTCCCCAAATTTTCTTTTCCACGTACTCGTATATGTTTTCTGCATTATGTGGGCATTGCGTTTCTCTCCCTTTTCCTAGTTATTGATTCCTGGGTTTTATTTTCAAGAGAGCTCATTAGTCTGCTTGCTGAAGTCACAGAGCATGTGTCACTAACAGCATGTTTGCTATGGCTCATGGGGACTTTGAATGCATCTCATTATATACACTGTGACCACACCTTGTCTAGGATTGTGCACTAATTAAAAATGAGATCCATGTCCACCTGGAGCAAGCAGCAGCAGTAGAATACAGAATCCTGCTTTCTTGTTTATCAGCATAGCTACTAAATCTGTTTCAGAGTGGCTGGGTAGCGCTCTCTCCCTTCTTTGAGCTACCTGACTGATGAATGTCATAGAATGTCTCACCCATCTGTTAATCGTTTTCTTTTTTCTAACTGTGTGTGTTGGAATGAGGAGAAGAATCAAAATATATAATGGAATCGTACATTTCAGTATTCGGATGCTATACTAAATAGGATATACAAGTCCCTAGATGAAGTAAAGCTGATTTTTAAACGAAAGAATTGTATTCTGAAGTGTATATTTTCCTCTAATAATAACCTACATTCTTCATGTATTGATCCCTATTCTGTCCTTCAGCAATTACCCTTTGACCCACTAGGCCTCAACAATTGGGTCCTCTTCTCAGCTTCCTGCTTTGTTGATCAGAAGAGGCGCAGTCAGTGCTAATTCCCTTAAACTGGGTACCAGATGCAGCACTCCAAAGGAAACAGAGGGAAATGACACTAATAGAGTTAATGTCACAATAATTGCATTGAAGGAATCCAGGACTTTAATGTTATATCACTCAGTTTGGCATTCACGTATGAGTTTGATTGCACTGAAAAGCAGCAAGAAAGATAAATTGAATAGGGGTAGCCATTTTCTAAATATTCTAAAGCAGAATGTACCTCTCCCCAGAGGGAGAGAAGATGGAGAAAGGACCAATCAAGCAATCAGATGGCACTGTCAGTCTTGTTGTCAAAATGGGTTGGTAATGCTGGTGCAGAGAAGTAAAATCTTTGCTAATCCACAGACCTGGTGCATCTTACCCTGATCTTCCTGCCAGTGGGTGCATCTACATGTGCACTTTACTGCAGAATTGACTAACTGTCTCCACAGTCAAGCATTACTATCTACACGAATGCTGATATTAGGTCACAGTAAATTAATTAACTGCCATAAAATAGAACTATTGGAAACAGTAATATCTTAGAGCAAAGTAACTAAGTGTGACAAAATGCATGTGTAAACAGTGATGGGGGCTGACTGGGGCATGAGGGTGCTGAAGTGTGGGTGTTGCCTGTCCCCTCATGTCCCAGACAGCCCCTCTGCTGCCCAGTGTCACC